TAAACAAATGTTGGAATATTAGGTATGATGGGACGAGGAGGGGACCGTGGAGGCTTTGGCCCACGAGGTGGTCCACGTGGAATGGGCAGAGGTGGACCAACAGGAGGCAACATGCAGCAAAGAGCTGGCGACTGGGAGTGTCCTAATCCGTATGTACAGCCACCTCATGCACAACTTTGTGTGTCTTAATAAATGCTTTTTGTAACTGTACTTTTTCTTCTTTTTTTTTTTTCCACAGGGGTTGTGGTAACCAAAACTTTGCTTGGAGGATGGAGTGTAACCAGTGCAAAGCCCCCAAACCTGAGGGCTTAGGTGGTGGTCCTCCATTCCCCCCAGGTGGTGAGAGAGGCCGAGGTGGACCTGGAATGCGTGGGGGCAGAGGTATGGATCGTGGTGGGCCAGCAGGAGTCGGAGGCCCAGGCGGACCCGGTGGTTTCCGTGGAGGTTGGGGAGGGGACCGCGGTGGATTCAGAGGACGTGGAGGAATGGACAGGGGAGGGTTCCGCGGAGCCGGGCGTGGAGGACCGCCCATGGACCGAATGGGTGGCAGAGGGGGAAGAGGAATGGGACCACCTGGGGGCAAGATGGATATGAAGGCTTGAATTGAAATTGATGAATAAAAGATATATCCAGTAATTGCTATTATCCAGTATTGCCTTTTTTTCCTTTCTTTTTAGGGACCACCGCCAGGAGCGCAGAGACCGACCTTATTGAAGGAGAACTTCTTGATTATTCCTGTTGTGGAATTTGATTTTTAAAAGAAGTTTTAATTTATGATTCCATATTTTGATGGTTATCGAACTGCGTTCATTCAACCTGTGCAGTTTGTCCAGTCGTTACCTTTTTTTATTTTCTTTTTTAGTTACTGTGTTTACGCTGCATTCTGTATTGTGCATGTTTCAGTTTGTTTTTAACTACCATTAGGTTTGTCATTGTACGGTAAATCCACTATTTTTCATTGGTTGACGTAACGACCCCTCCTTGTCCATAAACTTACAGTTGTATGATGATGATGATAAATTTGGGAAATAAAACTGCGAATTTCACCTTTTCATTGTGGACATTCTCAGTTTTACTAAATGAAAGCTGAAATAAACGATTCCTTTTCTGGTCAAACTGAAAATAAGGATGCAGATGGTTAAATTGTAAAGTAGTTGTTTCAGCACTTACCAAATGATTCAACTACCAAAGTCGCTTTTGGGAAATCTATGTGATCAGTTATAAAAAGCATCATTTACTGATTATAGAAAACTTCATTCCTGGTTTGCTGTGGGTGCAGATGGATACTCTATTCCTTGTCTTGTCAGAAGGTGGCGCAAAATTGAACTGGCAGCATTGACAGCAGGGAGATGTTGAACACTAGTAGAAATGTGATTGACATATACCTGTAGGCCATAAATGTATAAATACAGCCTTTTTACTTGAAAAAGACAAGTTACTTTTTTATCTTCAGGTCACAAGTTTTAAGTCTGTTTACAAAGCATTCATAGTTTTGACCCATTTAAACCCAGACATGAAAATATTAAAATCAGATGTCATTGAAAGCACTTTAAACTAATCAAGGGGATATAATTTTAAAAATTGTGGAAAAATATATGAAGGTGTGTTTTCTCATGGGTCACAATTGTGACTGGTGGTATGATGTAAGAACTAAGATGAGCTGAAAATGCTTTTTCCAAATAGATCATAAAAGGTGAATATTTTTTCTTTATTTGAATATACCTTGCTGCAGCATTACTTTAGTGCAACATTTGCTCTGTAAAGTATAAATTTGACTATCTGTATATTCCAAACCTTGATTCCTTGGGTGTTTATGTATAATTATATTAAATTTCAGTCAGTTATAGTGTTATGTTATCCCATTAACTTAAAGATAACATCTTTAGTAGAGGCCTTCATTTATATTGAAAATTATGAACAGCTGTCTCTATTACACAGCAATAAACTTAGTCCAAGGGTCTTCAACGCCATTTGAGGTTTGTCCTGAGAACTTTGTTCCCATTTTCCTCTAAGGACTCTATCTCATTCAAATCATTTTCTCAGCTCAGGAAGCTCCACCTCAGCTGACGTCTTCAAATTGTTCCCATTTGCTTTGGTCACTTCTCTCTGCTGTGCACTCCTTTTCTTCTCTGACAGAAGAGCTGATTCATCCAGGCCCAGAAAATGATCTCATCAGCCCCCTCCCACCTTTTCTCTCTTCCTCTGTGACTCTCCTCCTCCTTGGTTTCCCTCTCTTTAACGGACGTCACTCTTTTTAAATGAAAACAAGCCACCCTTCCTTGCGTTGTCTGTGCTTTTAATTTTAGCAGGCATGGTGGAAGAGTTCACAAAAGCCTGTCCAATCAAGAGCCGGCCAAAATTTCAAAAACGTTTTCCATTAAAACTGCAGTTGCAACATTTTGGAACTTCAGATTTTGGAAAAACTTTTAAAGCAATAAAACAAATGTATTCCTCCACACTCTGAGAAGACATTTTCAGCGGTATGTAGAACCAAAGCCTAAAAGCAGCGTTTGCGGCTAACCTGTGCATTCAAAAGGTTTATTTAAAAAGACATTTTATGTAAGAAATTGCTGAATCAGATCTTCAGTAAATTAATTTTCTTTAGACATATTTAAATTAACAGGGCAAGCAGGAGAATTCAGCGTATTCAGATTGAATTTCATTGTTTCTGACCAAGAGATCTGTAAAAGCACAACTGAGTCTGGAATCATCTTAGGCCAAGATTTTAATACAATATTTCCATCAAATGACTTGGGGTTAATCCTAACCCATTAATGACTAGATGTTTCTCAGGTCATTGTTCCTCACCTGTGGCTGCACATGCCAGACATTTAAAAGACAAGTATTTCATTTTTCTGTACAAGAAGCGAAGCTGGCTGCTAAGAAATCTTTTTAAGAATTAAAAATGGGCAACACATCAACTCTAATAACTACTGCTAAATAAAGTTTATTCTATATTAAAATTTGTGTATCATAATCATTATATGTTACATTAACAGAACGGTTATACAAGATTTTTAATGCAGCCTGAAAAAGTATGTAATTTTTTTGTTTTTATTGAAAGAATTTTGAAATTTCCATTTTCTGAATTTCTCTGTTAGCATTTTTTTCCTTTCAATTTCAATAAATTTAGGTTTTTAAATATATACCAATAAACTTTGGTATGTATATATAATCTTTGTATTCCCACTGAAGGCTGCCATTCATTTCGTAGAGCACCGTGTGTTGTCACTAGTTATGCCTGTTCACACAGATAAGATTTTTTTATTATTATTATTTTTCTAAAAACACTAATTCTAAAAATATGACCTCAAACATCTGGTATGCATACATTAAGTTAAAATTACAAAATGTTTTATTTAAAGAGGTTTAAAGCAGCTTTTCGTCTGACTAAATATTCAAAGCTGTTGGTTTTGCTGAAGGGGTGGTAAACATTCCCTTCTCACTGAGACCATGGTTAGCATTTTTTTTTTGTGGTTGCCTGTTCTTCAAAATGTAGAATATTTCCTCTTTTACGCGTGAATTTTTCACAAATCAAGCTATAAGAACATGAAGTTCTTGCGTTTACCTCACTGTGAAATATTGTCACTGTTAAATCTTAAACAGATCTGTCAGGTGCTGAAGACTGCTCTGATTACATTACTAATCAGAGCAGAACAGGTCTTGTTTACAGCAGAACCTGTTCTGCTGTAAATGAATAACAAAAATCTTATCATACAGAAAATTCTTATCATGGCAGAAAATGTGCTCTCATCTCTGGAAATTTTATTTTGTACTTTGTTACCAGTCTGAGTAACTTGAATATTGGAATAGATAGCTCACCAGTCTCTTTGTCTTTTTCTGTCCTAGAGTTTGAAGATATTGAAGCATCTTAAAGTAGATTGTTAATTTGTAACAAGTTAACAAACTTTTAGTCATTTTTAAAAGGTTGTCGGTACTCTACTTCCAACTCAACTGTCTTTTAACCGCTGGTACAGAAGCGATGTGCAGGTTTGAGTTTACAGCTGACCTTTCAGTTGAATAATACTCATTTAGCGTTTTGTACTTTGCAACATTACAACCAAAAACATCAAGACAGTCTGTCATTGACAATAAAGTTGCACATCATTGTAAGGTGTTCTTTTTTAGCAGCAAAAATCTAAAAAAGATGGAGATTTGTAATAAACTATAGTGTTCATGTTAACATATTTCCCAACCTGAGCTGAGAGTCTTTGCAGCTCCTCCAGAGGTTTGGGCCTCTTGGCCAACACTTAGCTTAGCAGTTGCCATATTCTCTCCCTTTTTGAAAGAGGGATTGAACTGAACTGTGCTCAGTGAAATGTTCAAAGCTTTGGACAGTTTTATCAACTAATTCTGCTATGGAAATCTCAACTTTATCCATGCGTGATGCATTGGCTCCACAATGGAGGTCAGCCCTTATCAATTCAAAACATCACTTTCTGCCCTTTTGCTACAAAATTAGATTTGACTGGAGTGGCGAAACAAGATAGATTTCATAAACATGTATTTAATTAAATACTTTTTTTAAAATTGAAGATGAGTGATTGACATCATACATAACAAAATGAGAACTTTACTTGACAGAATAAGACCTGCTGCAGCTGCATTTATTTTTCATATTCCAAGAATATGAAAAATAAATAAAGCTACAAAGTCCACTTTTACATTTAAAATGGGCAAATTAGTTTGAAACAAAAAAAGTTAAAGTGCCCTTCTGTTGTTGATATTCTATGCAAATATTGCATAAAACATACAGAAGAGTTGCTAAATCATTGGGTTTTTTTTATTGCTTTTACAATGAAAAAGAGTTCAAAATAGTTTCTCTATTTTTATTAACCTGAGTCAAACTGTCTGGCCTGGTATCAGTCTTGACCATGACTGTAAATGAGTCAATTATTTCTGTCCAGTTTTTTTTTTTTTTTTTTTTTTTTTTGCTCAGCCGCTGGTTTCCTGACCCAATCCAGCCACTTTCTGCTCAGCGCCGGCTTGGTGAACACAGGGTTAAGTTTTCCTCTTCCAGCGTTTATCCCTCATAATGGGATGTGCCTCCGAGTCGCTCTGCTGGTTTAAGCTGCAGCAGGTCAACATATTCGGCGCAAGAGGCGGCGCGACATGGGCTGAGCCTATTCGCAGGGAAACGCGCTGTGGACCGCGAGCTGCTCAGTGGCCGTGATTTCTCCCGACGAGGAGCTGGTGGGCCTCCGACAGACATGGCGACACGTGGAAGTGTGCGGCCGACAGGAACCGCCGGCCGTCGGGTGGATTAACCCGGGGATCGGGGCGAGGAACTGAGCCGTTTTTTTTTTCCGCTCCCGCTCCTCGGAACCCTGCGATGCGCTCCGTGGAGGAAGCGGGCTTCGCAGACATCCGGAAAACGCATCCATGCGCCACGGCAGCCCCGCATCCCGATATGCTCCTGACAACACAAAGCCTGGCTCCAATTAGCTTCAGTTCAGAACCGCACATGCAAATCGGCATGGGTGCGTCAAAACGGTCATTGCGCTTTGTTTGGTGGCTGAGGCTTCGGATTGCAGCTCTGCAATGAGACAGTCGGGGATGATCAAGTAAGACTTTATTGATACATATTTCGACAATATGGCTGATCAGAGCAACATTCAGTCCGCCGCCTCAAAGAGCATCCGGCCCTTTAAATCCAGTGAAGAATACCTGTACGCCATGAAGGAGGACCTGGCTGAATGGCTGAAGACCCTCTACGACCTGGACGTCACTGCGGACACCTTCATGGACGCGCTGGAGACGGGCTGCGCCCTGTGTCGGCACGCCAACACCGTGAACCGCGCAGCGCAGGAATTCCAGTCGGAGAACCCGGAGGCTGCGAAGTCCATGAAAGTGCCGTCGAAGGACGTGGTCTTCCAATCACGAAACGTGATCCCCGGCTCGTTCCTGGCGAGGGACAATGTCTCCAACTTCATCACCTGGTGCAGGCAGGAGCTCTGGATCAAGGACGTCCTCATGTTTGAGACCAACGACCTGGTGGAGAGATGCAACGAGAAGAATTTCATCCTGTGTCTGCTGGAGGTGGCGCGGCGGGGGTCCAAGTTTGGCATGCTGGCGCCCATGCTGATCCAGCTGGAGGAGGAGATCGAAGAGGAGATCCGGGACCAGGAGAGCTTGCAGGCCGAGGGGGCTGAGCAGGCCGAAGAGATGAGCTCACCGAGCAGGTGTTACAGCCGGAAGGAGAGCTGTCACAGTGTGGAGGATGAGGAGGAACCGGAGCCGGAGCCTTACGTCTGGCCGCAGAAGAGAGTTTTATGTGACATGCGAAACCTGGATGAACTGGTGAGTTGTTGATGAAAGCATGAAGTTTCTCAACATTGTTATTTTCTGATACTATACTCACTAAAGGTGGATTCAAGCGAGTTGGAGCATCTTTGAAAAGTTAAACCTATAGATTAATTACACAGTTATTTCATATTCCAGCAAACAAAACAAAAAATCAATGTGTCAGGAAATCGTTACCATGATTTTCTGACCAACTATTTAAACCAACTATTTCTAAATCAAAAATGAAAAATGTATGTTCTGACCTACACCACAAGCAAAGGAAGATTGCTGACTTAACAGTTTTCCAGAACAGAGCCACTGATGCTATCCACATAGAGGGTAAACCACCAAAGGTCATTAATAAAGAAGCTGGCTGCTATATCCAAGCAGATTTTTTTTTTTTTTTAGAGAGAATTTTGAGGCAACGTGGCATTGATTCAACAGTAGATGGACAGGAAATAGGAGAAAGAGACATGCATAATGACCCTGGGCCAGGAATTGAACTGGTAGCAACCGAGTTGAGGACTGAATAAGATGTGTTCTATCACTGAGTCATGGCATATCCAAGCATATTGGGAAACTGAGTGGAGGGAAAATATGTGGTAGAATAAACTACCCCATCAGCAGGTATTACCACGGTACAGAGATGATGGTGGACCTTTTCCAACCTTTCAGAAGGTTAGAAAAGAAGGGACGCTGAAGCCAGACGCATCATAAGCGTATAGTTTTAAGTTTCCACAGTCGGCGATGGTTTGGGGAGTCATGGCATCTGCTGAATTTGGTCCAAAGAGTTTTATCAAGTCTAATGTGTTCCCAGTCGTTTACCAAGACATTTTAAGAACTTCACCCTTTCCTGATTTGAACCACACGGGTAATATCTAGATTATTGTCAGCAGGGGAATAAGAAACACCTGAACCAACAATTGAGACGAGGCTGTTATGAAAGCAACCTGGGCTTCCTGAACACCTCAGCAGAACCACAGCCTGAGCTCCATGACACGCCTCATTAATGCAGTATTTCATGCAAAAAGATGCCCAACTAAGCACTGAGTGTATATAGTGTAAACTCAGTACTTGGTACTTGTGCATGTTTGTATTGAACATGTTTTTGTATTAGGTTTATGTAATCTAATTTTCTGAGAAGCTAAATGTGCTTTTATTATTAAAAAAATATCATAACAATCAAAATAAACCAAAGTAAACACTGGAAATTTATCATTCTGTGTAATAAAGCTGACATATTTTCCTCCAGAACTGAATAGCTAAAATAAACTAACTTTTCAATGATATTCTAACTTAATGAGATTCACCTGCATGTTTGCCCACAGGCAAACTAAACGTATCAGAGCTGCTTTATGACTTGTGATCGTTTCCCTGCTCACATGTTTAAGGGCCAAAACATGTTTAAGCTTTCCTCCAGGATATAAGAGCACACTTTCCCACAATAACTCTCCCTAAAGCCTTAGCTCAAAGTAAATATAATCCAGTGTATTTGGTCCCATATTTTAGCAGCTGTTGGGAATCCTGATTACTCCCAATAATGCATAAGAAATGTGTGCAAGTGACTTTCTGAAAGTGTCTTTTCAAATTTGTAGATTTCCGATAGTGTTTGACTGAAGGAATTCCATCAAATATATTGCATCCTTGTGCTCTATAAGCTCTATCACTTTATATATGTAGGAGAGAGCAGTAGCACATGTGTTTATGTGACTGCACATATTTTTAAAATCCTTTTCAGCTAAGCGGTCAGAAAGAGCCCACAAATAATTGCTGTTGCTCACAAATTACCTCTAAAAATCAAAGACTTTTTGGGTCTCTTATTAGTCAGCTTGGCTATCAAGAATAATCAACATAACACTGATAAAATAATTAGCATTCTGCAGCAGCCACCAAATGTTCTTTTACTCCAGCCTTTTTTGTTTTCTAATCCGTATTGAGCTGGTTGATCTTTATTAGACGTTGCTGGACCTCAGCAGACCAGAGCAAAGCGAAGGAGTGAGCAAACACCCTGGCAGGACGCATGCTTGGTGGTGGAGTTAATATTTTCATCCTGATGAGAGGAACAATGCCCGTCTTTGACATCGATGATCTGTGAGCCAAAGGGGCAGGAGGAGAGGAGACGGCGGTCGGGCACACTCATGCTTGTCAGACAGCAGAGTGGAGCGCTTTTTTTGTGTGTGTGTGTGACCTCTGCAGACAGAAATAGGAGGAGGATGTGCTCTCTACTTGTCTAGCATCTGAGTCCACACACTCTCGCTCATATGACTGAGGATTATACAAGCCAACGCTTTTTGGGACTGAACGTTTAGAGGAGCGCTACTGGTGCATATGCCCGTCTTTTCCTTTTCAGTCACCATTCCTCTGCCCCTGAGCGGTCACAGTGTCATGTGTCAGACTTGGAGAAAGAGAGACACTCAGACTGCAGAGCTTCTGACTGATATTGAAAGCATTCCTCTCGGTTATCATCTGTCTGAGAAACCGGTCCTCTTCCTCTTTGAAAACTGCCTTTTAGCTGCACAAAACAAAGAGAAGTGATTAAAATAAGTCATTTAGAATAAATGAAAAAAAGAACTGTTATTAGATATGAGGCTGGTAGATTTAAGTAGCTGAGTATTATCAAGGGTATGTTTATGTATTTAGTTGAGATATTTATTTAATCTTTACAGCTGATATTTGTCACTCTTTTACCTGCAATTTAATTTGACTATTTAGCATATACACTATAATGGCCTCATTAATACAGATTAATGCCAACTAAATGACTTACCCATTCCAAATGTAAAACAAAAAAATAATAAAATACATGACAGTTTTGCTAATCGTGCACAGTCCTACTTTATTACACGCTTTTCACTTTAGATTGATGTATCAAAGACGTTTCTGCAGATGGATGTGCTCCAAACTATCAGCCTGGTTTTCATATCTTAGTTAGGACATAACAGCTAGATCATTGTTGACAGCACGTGCAGGACATCACGAATAATCGCATGACTTTAAATTTCAAGCAGAAAATGTGAGCTGTGCTGTTAATATGTGTGAAGCTTTTCACTCCAAGACCACTTTAACTGCACTGACTCCCAGCAGTTCAATGGCGGCACAGCAGCAAGAAGGTCCTGGGTTCAAATCCCCTTTCTGCTCAGGTGATTGCTGTACCGGTGTGGATTCTTCCCAGGTGCTGCAGTATTTTCCCACAGTTCAGATAAATGTGTGATTACAAATACAGATCAGTTAATTCGTTACTTTTGCACTTCTCCTCAGGTTTGTGTGCATGGTTGGTGCCAAGTGATAAACTGGTGATTTGTCCAGGGTGTAGTTGACCGTTGAAGAAAGGCAACACCTCCTCAGTGACCCACCAAGAATAAACACGAGCAGAAGATGGGTGGATGTTCTTTAGCTACTCTTCATGCTGTATCATTTCAAATGCTGCATCATTTAAATTCATTTGTGGTTTGATAGTCAAAGTATTCCTGTTGTTTAAGATTTGGAAATAATTGAAATCCATATGATTATTCAAGAAGACTGAGAATGGTTATTGATAGAAAGCTTAACATTCAGCTTCCTCTTAGTGTCTTATTAATTATAGAATACTTTTTTGTTTTATAAAACAATGCAATATAGGTGATTAAATATCTATACAACAGACAGGCGACTCAGAAAGCTCACGAATATGTCACATCCACTAATTGCTGGATACAATGAGGATTAGCTTATAGCTCCATAAGCTATTATGGAGCTTACAGTATAAGAATGCAATATATGTGATTAAATTCCTTCAGTCAGCGTCATTCCTTCTGCCTGCTCACTCATGTAAACTGGTTCATATCTTTTTCCACCTCAGGCTTCACGTTCAGCCCTTCTTTAGTTCATACGTGAGCCGTCGCTCCCTTCCCCCACCTGTCTCTACCCTGGAGACACCAGAATGCAGAGTGTGACCGTGTGTTTTGTTGGTGTCCTTGAAGGTAGGAAAGGAATAGGCAGCTGCAGTTGGCGGGGAGGCAATCAAAAGCAGACATCTTCATTTCTTAGTGAGGACTCCTCGTGATTAAAAGAAGAGAGTGGATCTGTTTTATCGACCCTACTGTATGAAGCTTCGGGCTCAAGCCATGCATTCATAGAATAAAAAAGGGGTGCAGACAACAGATAGTGCACCTAGAGTGGCTTCACTGTACACTCTGTTAAACCTGACTGCAGTGGATGCTACTTTGGGAGGCAGGGCTACGGTGGAGAGAGTGAGGGGGAAAGTAGGTCATCCTGCTTTGCGTTGGACCACACTCAGATGCTTTGCTGAGAGAGCATGGCAGCCTTCAGTGTCACATGCACTCATGTCTTTAGTGTTTTAAAGGTTTTTCTGTGCTGCAGCCATCAGTCCTTTGCCTCCTCTTTCTGTTCAGGGAAGCAGACTGGATGGAAACGGCTGACTCCTCACTTTGCATATTACCCAGTTTATGCCTTTACTGGAGCATTTGATGCCATCAGCTGATCATTTGCATGATTGCCATTTAATGAAGTGTCTATCTGGTCAGACTTCTTTCAGCAATTATGAACTATTACTCAGTAGGTGTTTTCTGCAACGGCCTGATCTCAGACAGATGTTGATCATGAATTCCCCTAACGTTTCCCATGAATATGAGTGCAGAGTGCTGCTGAGCCTCTTTCGAAACATATTGGCAAACGAGTTAGACTCTGGAGTGATATTTAACTTCCTGATCTGATTGATTATGTTGTTGTTTGATTGCAACAGAGGTATGTACTTGTAGCACTCAATGCCTTTCAGTTTCTGTTATCTCTTCTGCACCTGATGGACTGTTTGTCATGCTGTCAGAAGACAAGTATCAATTTACAGAGAATAATTTCCCTTGCTGCATCATCCCTTGTATGCTGTAGAGCAGGTATGATTACATTTTAGCCATGCTATCTGGAGCCCTACACAAATCATGAACCTGCATGAAAGCCTTCTTTAGATAAAGTAATTGTTAGATAAACAGGCACTTCTCAGGTCTCCATAACATGATGGT